TTCATTTACCTCGATAAACGACCTAAAAATAAAATTGGGTGGTGGCCAAGTGGTTTATAGTGTCAAATTTCAAATTTACAGACAGTGTAGTTCTGGTTTAAGTCCTCCTGGTGTATATTTTTATCCTTATTAATTTTTCTTTTTGAGGCACTAGCACATAATTTATATGCTAATTCAACTTTAGAAGCGTTTTAAGAATACTCCACGGCTTAATAGTGGTCGAAATAATTTCTCATGAAGAGCGGCTTTCAACTTTTTTCTTGCTCTCGCTGCTGCTTGCTTCCTCACCCTTAAAATGCTGACAACTCGACACAAAAGTAATAAAGAAAATGTGCTTCAAATGTGCTGAAGATGAGTATTTCCAAGTTGTACCCCTGCTTCATGCCCTGACCATGCTACCATACCATAGCTGAGCACAGCGACGAATGGTCCCAGGTGCTGTGACCCGACCGTATATAGCCTTACGGTGTGGCGCAACTCATGCAGCCCCTATGCATGATGATGGAGCCAGTGTGCGAGGTGCGACCTGCTTGAGCTGTGCAAGCCACAGCTTTACAGCCTGCAAAGGGTGGGAAGATGCCCCTCCCCTTGCAGAGCTTGCAATAGCTCAGCAAGAAGCTATTGCAAGCACTAGGGAGCCAGTGTGTGAATAAAAGCACTTCTGAATGTGAATTAGTGTGTAAATTATGCGTCTATACGTTAAAACTTAAAAAAAAGTATTATTTATAAGTATAATATATATATATATATATATATATATATATATATATATATATATATACTGTAAACAACTAAATTTTCGCGAGGAACTAATTTTCGCGAATTTCGCGAATCGCCTACAAACGCGAAAAATACGTCCCGTGAACAACTCGGGCAATATGTGAACACTACGGAAGCTAAGCTCGGTTCGTGAAAATTAGAACCCGCGAATAATTTCAAATTTTCAGCTTTGGCCCGATGCGCAAAAATTTGAGTCCGCAAAAATGAAGTCGTTAACAGTATACCAAAAAAAGGCAAAAAGAAAAGAAACGTCTCCAGGTGGGTTTGAACCCAGAGCTCCACTGCCCTTGATTTCAGTTCCCTAAGGACCACTTCAGACGGGGCAACGTTTCTAGCAATTTTGAGGTTGCTGGAAGGTAGTTCCCTAGGTTTTCCCAGATCAGCACGAATTTCTGAGATCAGGTTCGGCTCAAAACAGACAAGCAACTCTAACAAACTGGAGAAGTTTGAAGCGGCAGCAGCCAATCAGGGACGCAATATTTTCACGTGACACCCCTGTGGTGGTGAGGATGACAGCTGAAGACTTGGTCCTGGTTTGAAATGGATCATTTTGGAAATAAACTTTTTCAGAAACATGAGTGAGTATTCTGAACGCTACTCAAAGATATAAAAACACGTTTTTAGCACGTAGTTGTGCGTCTATATAGTGCAAGAAAAAACCAAATTCATGATGATGGCAAGTCATAGCAATTCGGTTGCAGCGTGTGAACGCAGGCGGCCCGTGTTGCTGGTGTTGCGACGTTAAGTTGCTGGGGGAAATTGCCCCGTCTGAAGTGGGCCTTAGGCTCGCTTCCACCGTTCACGCTCAGCGAGCAAGCCTGCTTCAACCGTTCACACCTCAAGGCAAGCTCGACAGCTACAAGCCACCTAAATGTCTACCGCCGCATCCCCGGCCAGGTCGTGACGCGACATAACTTATTAAAAGTCTTGCTGTCACTGCCACGACCGGCCAGAGTGAAGTCGAGAAAGAATCATATAAATCATTTCGTAGCTTCTTGGAACGACCCCCCTCAAGGGAGAGTCGTCCCTCCGCCCTTCGTCGATTGCTGGGCTGACGCAAAGCAACTAGCCGTCTTGGCCCAGCAGTTACAAATAATAGTGCTCATTAACTCGGCTGCCAGCATTCCAGGTGCCAACCGCAATTTCCGCAGTTTACCCGACACCCGCTGACAATCTTGCCTGCCAGTGTTCCCGGTGTCAACTGCCATTTCTGCAATCTTTCCAACACCCACTGACAAAACCCTTTTTGTACTCCAGGCCTCGACAAGCGCTTACTTGCCTACCGCATCACCCCAAGCCTAAATCTTAAATCTGCAATAAGTCCTGGCTGTTTCCCCTCCTGCCACTCGTTATCCTGCCTTCCAGCGAACATGCCGTGACTCTCCTCTGCCTTTGAAGACAACTTTCTTACATCTTAAACGCGCTCCCCGTCTCTTGCCAACCACTAATCTGGGGTACCCGAGAAAGCGGTCTGCAACCTCGTTCTTCGAGCCCTTTAGGTACTCGATTGGAGGAGACACCTGCTGAGCTCTGCCGTGAGACAAGTCGCCAAAATTCCAACATATTTGTCTCAACGGGCATCGTTAGCGTTAGTGAACAACCCGCTTAACGAATCCGTGAGACTCCCTGGGGACGACTAGAAGCAGAGGCATACCAAACGAGCCCCACGTTGGATTTTCCATTTTAATGTTGGTTTCTTTATGGAGTTCGCTTAGCTACTAATAATCACCGCCCAATTGGTATGCGCTCCGCCTGTCACCCAGAGAGTGACATACAGCAACGAGAAGACAGCGAATAAGTTGACTGTACCTCACGGTTGCCTGTCGTTCGGAGCCGGCAGTCCAGGCACGCCGACCCTTGTTGTCGCCCGTCGATCAGAGCTCACAGTCGGAGTCAGTGTACAGGCCTGCGGATCGTCCTTGCCACGCCAGCGCTGCGTAGACTGGCTGTCCCGGGCTATCACTGCCCGAGTCTCGCTGTGGAATCACCCCGGGATCGTCATGGCCTAGGCTAGATGGCCAGGACTCGCCGTTTCTACCGGTCCGGACTTCAAACCTCGCTGGTGGACCGCTCCAAGCCAGGCAGCCCGGCTCCGATGTTCCTGCCCAGCTCCAGCCTCGCTCAGCACGCACTGTCTCGCGCCAGCTCGTGACTTCTCCGCCGACCGCCTGTCATGCCCTCTGCCTAGTCTTTCACCCTTGGCTCCCAGAAAGTTAAGGAAAGGAAATGTACCATTATGTTCAGTGAAGTTCGGTGAGAAGACCCAGGACTCGGACAAGAATGCCGTTATCTTTGGTGTGACCCAATGAGACTCTCTTGCTGCCTTTGCTGGGGTTTATCTAACTGATGTACCCGTCTGAAAAGTAGAAGAAACATATGTGCATAACACTCATTATTCACAAGAAAATTTGTCAACATCCAAAATGACCCACGGAGAAAATTATGCGAGGAATTTGTCGGCCACGTTGGCCGAGTTACCCCTCGTGGCCAATGCTTCTTTGCAACTTTAATTGTAGTAAACAGTCATAAAGTATATTACAAAGTGCAATTTGGTTTTGTACGAACCTACAACACACAAAACAGCACTCTAATACAGTATGTAGAGGTACCTCTAAACAAATTCCAGGGTTTCATGGAGCCTCCTTCAGATAACTGATGTTGAACATAAAATATGTGCACCAAGGAGTGAGCAAACAGTGACTTCCAATTAGTCTCAAGCACCAGCGACATCTCGACAAGGAGTGCAATGTGTAGAATGTCGTCTAGAAATGTGCAGCCAAGATGAAAAGGCGAGATATAACGATATCAGAATAAGATCACACCAAAAAGGTTCCGTTACAATCTAGGCACAGTAATGAGTCAACCGACGTTCAGCCGCGATTCACTTTGCGTTGAGGTGAAACATGGCCAACAAAATATAAAAAACGCGTTTTTTGTTTGTTTGTTTTTCTGTACATTATTTGCTTTGCGCCGTTGATAGAAGCACAGTTGGGAGGCGTCACAAAGTCACTCGCTAGCGTTTTTCAAATTCGTTCATCGGCATTCGTGGTCTACCCGGGAGGAGAAAAGTACGAGCTCAGAGCCGAGCCGCCAAGCGTCGATTGCGACTTTCTTAAAGAGAAGCTCCGGTAACACTTCGGCGACTCGTCAGCTTCAAACAACGCTTCTTCGAACCAGCTTCGAACGAGCCTGACGCGCCCGCGAATCCAATGCGCCGAACGGTCGCGGCAGAAAGCACGCCGGGAAGAAGGGGGCTGGAGGCTGAGTATCCGAAAGAGACGCGGCGCTGGTTTCTACGTCTATTTCACACATGAGATAACAAACTGGCAAAGCTAGCCGAGTGTGAACGGTGACTGACGTTACATTGGAGCACACGCAGTCGAAATAACGCCTGCTACAGAGCACAGCTAGAGGTTTTCGACAGGGGACACATGCGTTCAAAAAGGCCGCGATTTAAAAACTTCACGTCGCCGTTCTGTCCTTCGGTGTTTACTTTGATCCGCGTACACCAAAGCACTCAATGCTGCAAGTAATAAAGTCGTGTATACGTACCTTTCGAAGCAATTGAAAGTGTGTAGGTTTCGCTCGATGCCCACGAGCACAGAGTGCGACGAACGCCAATCCCGCCGGCAGCGCGACGGCGCCGGCTGGCCGGGTCGCCGCGTCAGGCCTCATTCACACAGCCGGCGCCTCTCCCGTCCCGTCACCGTCACGGGAGCACGCCGGGGCGGGGACGCGACGGCAGGGTGTCCGGACAGGCCGCGCAAGCAAAGCGACGACGGCCGCGACGGCAGGATTGGATTGGATCGGATTGCGACGACTAACTATGAGACAGGGAGAATTCTGTTCATTTTATTCTAATAGTTCTTTTAAATCTGTTAAACGGCAGTGTATACGCTTATTTATTCAACTTAAAGTACAAAATAAAGAGATAATTGTGCCTGAACATTAGTGCGTACGTTTATTTTTTCGTAAATTGAGGGATCTGGCACACTTCAATGGTGACGGCTGGCAACAGGACAGATTTGTTTATGTTGATATCTACAATCGAGGCGCGCGAACGCGCGCAAACGAGGAGCCATGGCGAGCCACGCACACCACGGATCATCGTTTGTGTTCCTCAGCACACTTCTGCTGATGTACCTATTCCGAAAACGAAGAGCAGAGCGCGCGAGGAGGGCAAGGCGGCCGAGGAGTGTGTGGATGCGGAAAATGTGCCGGCATCGCAAGTCCGGCCACTCAGGAACGCTGATTCCTTTGCTGCGAGAATCAGATCCGCAGTATTTCTTTGAGTAAGTACTGTGTCTTGAGCTTTGGTGTACGAACCTTATCGCCATATTAGTAAAACATATAAAATAGCGCAACAGAAACGAGGACAAGAAGTAAACAGGACAGGCGCTTTACTTCTTGTCCTCGTTTCTGTTGCGCTATTTTATATGTTTTACTAAGATGAACCAACTAGCCCAACAACGTACCTTACTTATCGCCATACATTTGCAGCTACATGAGGATGTTGCCGTCAACCTTTGATCGACTCCTGACCCTGGTTGAAAGCTCAATCGAAAGGCAAGACACCAACTGGAGAGAGTGCATTCCAGCGAAAACTCGACTGGAAATCACGATAAGGTAGATATATTTTCGTGGAGGAAGAAGAAAAAAAAAAAAAAAAAACACAAAATAGCCTGCGGGGAGTGTAGTTCGAAGTACACACCAAAAGTAAGGTGGCGGCAAAGGCTTGTAGAACAATCCATTAATTTGATATGCTTGCTCTGGAACATAGCAACTGCGGATTACAGCACGTGCTTTGCGTGTATCTAAAACCCCAGTGTGCTCCTTGATGATTGAGCAGTTTAGTAATGTTTTCTCAGTCCCCATGTGTTGTTTGTTGGCCTTAATCCTGATTCGTGTTAATCTGACCGATTTTATATCAACTCTTCACAAAACAGTATGTTTGGAAAAATTCACGAGGTTGGAGGACAACAAATTTTGCTGTTACGGTCCGGAACTCACCTTGCGCTGTCCGTCATTTTTTAACAACTCTTCGCAGTATAGTATCATTAAAAAAAAAAAAAGAAACACAAAAAAAAAAAAAAACATTAGGTTTTAGACTTGCCAATTTTATTGTAGCTGTCTGGAACACACTTGCACTGTTTGTCATCTTGTCATAGGAAAGGCGGCATGACTCGTTGCCAGAGATAGTAGAAGACTTATGACATTAGAGGTATAGTCTCAGTATTTCTGGATCATCTCAAGCGTATCTGTGTTTTGAGGCCACGTTGCTTTTTACATCCTTACAATGAAAACAAACCGCACAAAGGAGACAGAGCAGCACTAGCAGTGCTGCTATCAGGTCGCAAACCCAAAGCACGAGTCGGACTCGTGACTGGGCTTCCCGGTTCTTAAAAAGCAGCGCGAGTTACATTCATGATTAGTGAGCATGTACATGAAACCATGCACATTCTTTCTGCCTCAATGCTCACACACAATCTGTGACACTACACGCTAATAAAGGGCTTGCTCACTACTGAGTTAGCTAGTTGCAGTAACCAATACGGTTATATGGTTGGACTATTGCAGATTTCTCGCCAGCGGTGATAGCCAGCGGAGCCTGTCCTATGCATTTAACGTGGCAAGGTCAACCATATCTGAAATAATCTCGGAGACGGCCCAGGCAATTTGGGAAAACCTAAAGGACGAGTATGTAAAATGCCCAAGAACACCCGCAGAATGGAATGAAATTGCCAGGGGCTTCCTACAACGTTGGAATATACCAAATTGCATTGGTAAGTGGTACAGTGATGTCTCATTAATATGCATGTGTTTGCTTCCCCAAAAAATCGTCCATAATGTGACTGACCAGAGAAGCGCACGGCCTTGCCTTTTATGCCCACGAATGTGACTGATCACAGATCTCATCCCGGCAGGGCGCAACATACCTTTCAGCTTAAAAACTGGAAAAAACCCTACCACCTTTAGTTGCTTACGTCTTATCTCAAGACGGTCAAGGGACAATAATGAGTTCCGCATACACACTGTAACCTCTGTGATTTACTAAGCTTTTTCTCGGTTGGGATTGTGGACCCGCATCAAAAAGAAAGAGACGGTCAACAAATAAGGGACAATAGTGAATTCCAGGTACGCATACTGGCCTTTGCAGTTCACTTTTTTTTTCTGTTGTTTGTGGACCCGCATTAAAAATAACGAGACAGGCAAGGAACAACAGACAATAGTGAGTCACAAATATTTTTCTTTTTTTTTTTTGCTTCGTGGGTTAGTGTTTATAATAACGAGACAAAATGCCTGTATTTACCTATTTCGTCCCCAAAATAGCTGTCCATAGTCTGAACTGCGGGTTTCTAAATTAACGGGGCAGTATTGCATGGCGAGTGACCGGTTGCCAAAAATTTCGTCCATATTGCGGGGAGTTCATATCAACGGGGCCCATATTAATGCAATATGACTATACTCCAAAACATTCTGCTGCATTTTTACATGGCATGCATGCTCCGAATGCAAATGTAGTGGGCACTTGTGCAACCTTTTGCAGTATTTATACTGCTACTGGCACAGTTTGTTAACATTTTGCAATTAATTATGCTTTGCCATCCAATAAGTTGCAGTGGCCAAGAAATAGCAGAGTGCTGCATGTCTTCAGCATATTCCAACCAAGGTATATTGCACAAAGCATGTGAGAGATCAACCAAGAGGTGCACGCCAGCAACCAGGTGAGGACGTGTGAGAAAGGAATTGCTGTCTGCACAGACAAAGCCCCAGCATGAACATCTGTCCTCCCCCAGTGGCCGTGTGAAAAGCTTACAGTATTCCTGTGCATGCCAGCTACCAGGTGTGTAAAAGCATTGCAGTCTGCACAGGCAAAACCGCAGCATGAACATCATTCGTCGCCAAGTGGCACAGCAAAAAGCTTATGGTCTACTCTCCTACATCAGCCTTGCTGCATCATGCTGAGGGCAAATTTCACTCGCCTTTCTGTTTTCAGGCAGTATCGACGGCAAGCACGTCACAGTGGAGGCTCCGAGCAACTCGGGGTCTGAAAACTTTAATTACAAAGGAGGATTCAGCAAGATCCTGCTAGCTATGTGTGATTCGGGCTACAAGTTTCTGTATGTTGATGTTGGTCGCTGCGGTGGGGAAAGTGACGGTGGCGTATTTAGGAGGTGCCAGCTCTCTGGTGCTCTAGAATCTAACCAGTTGGGGGTTCCCGAACCAGTTGCGCTTCCAGGAGGAAATGTTACTCCCTATGTCATTCTTGGGGATGAGGCTTTCCCTCTGAAGCCCTATCTGATGCGGCCATACCCGAAGCGTTCAATCAAAACCGATGCAGACAAAATATTCAACTACAGGCTTTCTCGTGCAAGGCGCGTAATTGAAAACGCTTTTGGTATTCTCACAAGCCGGTGGCGCATCCTAAGGCGGCGGTTCAAAGCGAACAATGAAAACGTTAACAGATATGTCCTGGCCTCTATAGCCCTTCACAACTTTCTCATGACCCAGAGCGAAGATCGAAACAAGTACTGTCCTCCCCAATTTGTAGATTCCGAATCATGGAATGGGGACATCCTTAACGGAGAATGGCGAAAAGAAAGCGGCACTGAAGCAATATTTTCTCAAGCTTCGCAGTTGGGGTCGAACAAACCATGCAGCGTCGCAGAACATGTTCGCACAAGCTTCAGAGATTATTTTATGGGGCCTGGAAAGGTGGACTGGCAATTAGAGTATATCCATAGAAGCACACCCAGGAGAAGTTCAGGACAAAAAACCAAAACAGCTTCACCATCCACTTCAGCTTCAGCTGTTTAACTTTTTTGTCCCTAGCTGTGTTATGGATGATGGTCTTTTCTGCAACAAGCCCTTGCACTAAAAAAAGTTTCAAGGTAATGTGCGTACAGCTTTGTCACCCAGAACCCCCCTAATATGTTTTCCTTATGTTAGATATTTTATGTCAAGATTTGAATGGTAGTCACCGCTACATACGTGCTTCCTATGCTGCATGGCAGCCAATTCAATAATTGACACACAGCATACATAACATGTATGTCACGGTGACTCATTTGAACCTCGACGTAACCATGGCACACTCGGGGCAGTGCACTTTGTACGAAGCGGATAGCATGTATAAACTTACACTGCTGTCTAATCTGCTGGATGGCATTGAATTCCTGAAACTGTTTATTATTCCAGGTAAATATTTCCCAATGTGTCTGTATTTCCCGTTTTAGTATCTTGTCAACAAAAGCGCAACGTTGTCTTTGTGATTCCTTTTTCGTAATAACTTTATGATTTCCTTTCAGTTTCAGTGACTGCTGTGCAATCAGCGTTGCATGCACCGTTCTTCAGAACACTTCCCGAACAGGTGTATTAATTTTATCTCTGTAGCCATGAGGTTGGTCATATAGTCTTAGATATGTTATGATAGACGTTCAAATTTGCAAAGTTCAAAGCTTTGGAGTTGGAAACACTGACTCAAACACAATTTGAGGTCTTAACACTTTATTTGTGTAGTTTGCTGCTTCTGTTTGTTAAGTGTAACCATGCCTTCTACCTGATTGCATAATAAAAAGTGTAGATCATATCTTGACTATAATATATTGCTGTGCCTTTGCTGTTGTTGGAATACCTAAGGCATAAACATGTAGCAGCATCATGACATTGCACAGACCCACAAAAATATATAGATTAAACAGTCTTCATGGAAAATTGTCAAGGAAGACAACATCCTTGATCTTGACTACAACAGTATCACAGAACTATACTCAATTTCAGCGTAACTTGGTGAAAGGCCAAAGGTAGGTTCCCAGCAGGCCTGCCGGAGCATAGCATGTGACAGCACATCATGGCAGTGCACTCAACCTGTGCAGAGCCGCCAGATGCTTCGCTCAGATTGGCTCGACGGGGCCTTGGCTTTTGCCCTCTGCCATATTATCATGAAACAGGTACGAACATAAAAAGTACACCAAACACAAAAGCCCACTCATGTTCAGAACAAACAGCTGTCTGTCCTGTTGTGTTACCCCTTTACCACATCATCGGCGATTCATGGCAGATACCAATTGTATGCATAAAACATGACAGCAGCAGCAACTTTTGCCCAATCCTTGTGTGGCTGCAAATATTGCACGTATGTCATCTTCGAAACGATGACGGCGGATGACGGCACCATTTATCCACTGTGTTTTCGGAGGGCAGCCCATGGTTTTGGTTTCAAGCTTGCTTACAATCAAATGTAGTCACATATGCACCAAGTTCTGTGCATGTGACTTAATTTAGAAATTCAGACTTGTTTGCAAACCCTTGAATGCACCTCACACATTATGAAAGCCAATTTTTAGCACACATTGTTTCTACCACACAAAGAAAAAGACGTAATTTGGGAGAAAGTCTCCCACTTCCAAAGGAATGTCCGAAAAATATATGAAGGAAGATCTATAGGTCTGACACATACATGAAGAAATATTTGTTATAGAAATAAAAAAATATCATGTGGTAAAGTGTGAAAAGACTGCCGTTACATTAAAGGAATGCTGAACCAAAATTTGGATTTCACGAAATAAGGCAGCAGAAGTGCTCAACAGGATGCTACAAGCCCCAAAACATCACTCATACAGCAATATCTCAAGCGGACGACTGTACTTTTGGAAAAGAAGGGCGCATTTGAGTGAAGAATGTGACGTCGCGATTCCCCCAGAACAGTTGATAATGAACAATGATAAAGATGGGAGAATGCAAAGAGGAGCGGGAATGAGAATCGCGGTGTGACATGGTTCATCGGCCTCGTGGGCCTCCTTCAATCGTGCCTCTTGTTTCGAAAGGTACGACCATCCGTTGGACACATCGCTGTACGAGTGATGTTTCGGGGTTTATAGCATCTCGCCTATCGCTCCTGCCTTGCCTTATCAAACCAAATTTCAGTTCAGCATCCGTTTAGTCTGGAGAGTGGATATCATCTTTAAGGGGCCACTCCAGTGTAAAGTAAACCTGGCCATCCGTGTCACAGAATGCAGTCTCCACAGAAAAATAATTGATTAGACATAGATTTATGTCCCGGAACTCATTTTATTTGGCATCTGTTTTGTCTGTTTGCCTGACCAGCTGAAAAGTGGACACTATTTGAGAAGAATGTGACACTGAGGCTGCCCTTTTGGCAGCCTTCCATTAGCTGGAAGGGCAGCAGATGCCTCGCAGGTTGGTTACCAAACTTTTGTTGTATGTTGTACTAGTCCCCCAAACAACATACATTGTTAGAGAGACTATTACTTTCAGTGTGACATTCCCCTCCAAATAATGGCCATTTTCAGCGGGCACCCACAAGCGAACAGGTGGAGAATGCATAATGCGACATGCATGTCCTATTTGGGATATTTAGAAAATGTCTCTTTGCACTGCAGTGGCCCTTTAACACTCGGAAGTTAATTGTTTTCTTCATACCGAACTTCAAGAAGGGCTATGTGGCACCTACGCATCACCTCATCTTGTTCCTTAGCACTGAGAGACTTTGCGGTCTCGGCAACGAAATCAAAAAACAAGTTGCACCTGTGCGGAGGGTTCGGCCGTGCCACTGTCCGCATTGCTTCAATATAAGCTTCTTTAACCTCACCAAGGTCATCAGATGGTGGTGTGGCAGTCTTCTTCCTAAGAAAAATTGAGCAATATATATGCCACAGTCCTTTGTGAAAGTTTATGTACTCCCGTCTCATGATACACAACCTTCGACACCCTTCTAAGGCTGGTTGAAACCAAAAAGGATTTTCCTTGTTGTCCCTATCCCCGTACCGGAATAAGGACGATTCTGCGAGACGCCGTGACGTCACTCCGGCGTTTGTCCCACTTCCTGCATAGGGAAAGGGACGAAATGTGTCTTTTTTCGTTTCAACACCTACACAGTAGGTGTTAAAACCAAAAGGGAGCACCTACTGTGTAGGTGTTCAAACAAAAAAAAAAAGAAACACATATCGTCCCTTTGTGTGTAGGTGTTCAAACCGAAAAGGAAACATTTCGTCCCTTTCCCTATGCCGAAAGTGGGTCAAACGCCAGAGCGACGCCATGGTTTCTTGCAGAATCGTCCTTACTCCGATACAGGGACAGAGACAACAAGGAAAATCCTTTTTGGTTTGAACCGGCCTTTGCATGTCACTCAAGCACTATATTCACAAGCAGAAAATTGTACTGGTTGTGCTGATGCCTCAAATGGGAACTTCCCACCAAAGTAGATGCTTTGATAATCAGTTTTAACTTCTGTACGAAGGTTGTTAACAGCTGGAGATTGCTTGTTCATGCCAGCTGTATTGCAAATGGTTATGGTAATATGGTCACGATGCAGCATTGTTACATTTCAAACCATAAAGGAGCCAACAGGGTGAGCATGTTATAGAGGTGGCGCAACAACTTCAGTTTGAATTCACATACCACATGCGTCAAGAGTTTGGACCACTTCAAACGCCCCACAAAAATCAGTTTATCAATAGGTCGCACTGCGATTTAGTGCAGAAATTCAGAATAGAATGATGATTTTTTTTTATAAAGCGTCTAAAGGGTCTCGGTACCTCTTTGGTTTTGGCGGCCCGCCGGAAGGTCTCCCTCCTGCCTGCTTTGTAGGCGCCGGCGCCGGCGGTTCAGCTGGGCGGCTCTCTAGCTCAACAGCTGGCTCCTCTGTCTCCACTTCCTCTGTATATGCAATGCTGATGAAAAGAAAACTTTCCCATTAATAAAAGGAAACACAGTAGGCCCTATATTGTCAATGTGTTCTCCCTTCTTAAGATCACTTTTTTCAGACATGGAAAAATGCAGCAAGATACTATACTCTGTTTCACTTTATGATGTACCGCGCAGAAGGCTACAAGCGCGAGCTCCTTGCTCCAGGGCACATCTCGGCGGCACAAGCTCTCGTGCAATAGGGGCAGCTGTTAACGCTATAGGCTCGCGCTTCTAGCCTTCGCTGCGGTACACCATAAGGTGAAACGAAGTATAGTGGTACCACTTTGTAGAAGGCAAGATGTTTCACTCTTCATGATGTCGTTAGGGGCATGCATTTAAAATGACTATGAAAATACATTAATTATAGAGCCTGTAAAAGATCTACATCTCAGTAAATTGCACTGCATTTAGAGGTCCAGGCACTGTGTTCCCATCCCGTGCGACTGTGCCGGGCTCTCACTGCTCCAAACTAAACTATTAATCAGCTCCACAAGACTCAAGTTCTATGAGTGAACTCACCTCAGCCTTGCTTGCCCAGATTGCAAGCGTACACTAGGCTCCCCTTATTAGCTTTGTATGCCCTAGGAATACCTGTAGATATCTAAGCCCTCGCCCACATCCCTCCCTTTCTCCCATCTTCCTCTTTCCAATCGCGATGAGATGATTATACAAAGATACTATTACGAAGACGAAGGAGCCGAAGAAAAGAAGGTCGAGGAGGAGAAGAAGAGGTGAAGGCCGGTGCGATCCCTCAAGCCCGCAGTAGCAACATCATTCTCCACTTCATCCATCTCTATCCATCTATAAATGAAATGTCTATCAGTGTAACATTCTTTTGTGTCACCAACTCTCTAATAAGTATGTTCGGACAACACTACTGCATTTGGAACATCGCTGTTTGTCTATACCTGTCAGGGTTGCCGTCCAGATCGAGGGTGTCGTGCCTGAAAAATATATTTATTTATTATTTATGAATACTGTCCACCCCAAGTATGGGGCTTTAACAGGTGCGGGGATAAGAGAACACTCAAAGATACAACATCAGAAATACAGCACATACTAGACACGGAGTCCTTTAATTACAATTTTATGAGCACTCTTTCATTCATTCCAGCTACATAAAAAAATTAATTGAGAGCCCAAATAAGGGACTGCCTCAGAAACCATTATTTGCTGTTTTGAAAATTAACACTGACAATAAGGTCACCCAGAGTAGGTGGAAATCCGAAGTGTTTGCAAAACGGTAGGTGCCCAGCAGTTGTATAGATCAGAATACAAAATAAAAACCGGCACCTTCCGGTTATACCGATCCCAAAAATTAAAATCAGCGGCCATTTATCGGCAAATATAGAGGACTCCAAACCCTAGTTATATATATACAGCTAGCATGTGACATCATATTTGCCCTCCTTGATGGAAGACTCACTAATGCAGTGGAAGCTAGGCTCATTCGTTTCTGCTCACTTGCAACGCTTGCTTCCTGTTTGTAAAATTACTACAGTAAAGGGCTATGCTCCGCCACCAAGAAGGAAGACCAAATTAGGCCACTGCAAGCTATCTGTAGTATATGAGCAAGCCAAGTTTACCAGAAGGAGCATCCGGCTGTCTCGGCCTCAACACTTTGTGGAGATGGGGTCCTGAAAACGAGTTTGTTTGACATCACACCGCATTCTCGGATTCAATAGCAGAATTCTCTGTTCCGTCTCATATTTATGGTCAGAATATCACTTGCGTGTCAGCCGGTGATGCAGGCTCCAGGATCAAATTGGAAGCTGTACTGAAAAGAATGAAAGCAAGAGGTTGCCACAATGTCAACACATAGTAACCGACGTGGCCTTTTCATTTCGCTTTAAATTAAGACGGCCTGCAACCGATACAGCTT